AAAAAAAAAAACAAAACACCCTCCTAATCCCATCCCGAGGAAGCTCCTGCCCGCGGGAGGGGGGAAAAGGAGGAAACCACTGCTGCCCCGTGTGAGGATCGAACTCACGACCTTCAGATTATGAGACTGACGCGCTACCTACTGCGCTAACGAGGCTCCTCGGGAGCCACCGCCCCGCGCGGCGCCCTTCTCCCGTCCCCCGCGACCTCCCGGGGCCTCCCCGGCACTCACGCCCCGCCACTGCTGTCCCCCGGGGAGCTGCCCCAGAAACTCTGCCTCTTTGCAAATGACTCCTGTCCTGCAGGAGACACCTGGTTTGTTTGGTGGTTTTTTGGTTTTGGGGTTTGTTTTTTTTCAAATCCATTAATTTCCCATGCTGTCCTGCAAGACAGACCCGACATTTTTGACAAATGGCTCCTCTTTCCCGTGCTGTTCTGCAACTCTTTTGGGGTTCCTCAATGTCCTCATCCAGCCCTGCTGGATGTGGACTGCGAGGGCTGCATCAACAACGCGCTCCCAAAGAAACCAAGCTGCTTCCACATAATTGCAAAAATTAAAGCCAACCTCGTTTGCTTCTCTGCTGTGAAGTTGCTGCTCACCTGGGATTTCTGCAGCGAAATGAACTCCGTGCATTCACCAAAGTGCTCAGCAGAAGCAGGTCCCCTGCCGTGCCGGCAGAAGCGCTGCCCTGAATCCTAATCGACAGGCCTCACCCTCAGTGAGGCCCTCAAGGCAGCTACAGGTACCTAAATGGGGAAAAGATGGAAAACCAGACATTTAATTGATGCAGAAAGTATCCCAACCTCACCCAGAAGCATCGCCCTAGGGAGGCTGTTCACCTGCAGAGCGAGCAGACGAAGGAGGAGCAGACCTTGGGACATCAGTCCCACCAGACAAGAAGAGATGTTTGAGTCATGGTGGACAGCCTGAGGGTTTTGCCAAAATCCTTGTTTGCCAAAAGCTCTTGTTGTCAGGAGGACAATACCCCGACGTCCAAGGTTCTGGCTGGCCACGCACCCGGGACGAGCAGATGATGAGCCCAGGCTGTAAGGCTTTGCGAGCAAAATTGCAACGACGGGATGCGTAAATGCCTCCCCCCGACGTTTCCCCCCGTGCAGAACGAGGATGGCATTTTTACTAGTGTGCTAATCCTTCGGGGCTTCGGTGACGGATGAGTTTAGTGCCCACCATTCTGATTAAATTAAGAAAAGCTGCTCCAAGCATCTAAAGCAAGGCACATGGACAATGAGTCACCTAAAACAAACACCTAAAGTGACTGTTTGGAAATACGTCTGTAGCTGTTTTCTACCCATACTGAATCACGGGGGTTTTCCCCCACGTTACGCTCAGCTGGCACGCAAAGTTTCTGCCGCAGCTCTAGAAGGCCTTGTCACGTCTGTTTGTTTAGGAACTGAAGGATTCATGGAGAGGACAGGAAAAGTACTGATGGCAAGGGTTTTCATGTGAATGAAACAAAAGATGACCTTGGTGACATTGCCTCGAGCAGAAACTCAGCCGTCTACAGCACACACATGCTTTTCCCTCTTTTGCATTTTCTATTTTTATCCCGACTTTCCTCTTTCTTGTTTTCTATTTTTATCCAAATTTTCTTCTTTCTCCTTTTCCTCCAAACGCTCCTGCTGTGCCTAATCTCCCTACAACCTTCTCTCCCTTTCCCTCACCCCCCGACCCCTGTAACCTTATCCCACAGTAGATGCTGAGCCGCTGCGTCCTGCTCCATCCCTTGGCAATCAGACCTTTCCCCTGGCCCCCTGACTCCCTTCCCAGTCCGACCCAGCAGAAAGCAGGAGAGCCCATCATAGATCCATGCCAATTCCCACAGAGCTCCACCACTCCATGCCCATTTCCTCCAGATTAAGAGGAAAAAGGGGAAAAGTCTGTCGGGCTGAAAGGCAGTGCCCACCTCCACAATGTCACCCGGCAGGGAGCAAAGCCCAGCAAAGTCAGAGGCAATGCGACAAACCCCCCCGTGGGCTCTGAGTGCTCGGCGGGACCGCGATCCCAGCCTCTCATCACGTTAGAGAGGAGAAACAATCATTGTCTCCGCTCCAAGTTTCAAGACCCAGACAGCAAAGGTTTCCAGCACTGTTCTTGCGGAGCATCACACGATAGCTACAAGCAGAGAGTTTGGAGGTTGGGCACAGCGAAGCTCCGTGGGGCCCAGAAGGCAGAGAGCTGGTGCAGAACAGGGTGCTTATAACCGAATATAACTCACAACTTCGGCGCTTACTGCCCTGTCATCAGACTAGAGAATTGGCACATTCTCCTCTACGTCACTGAATCCATTATCTGAATCTGCCAGCTTTATTTGTGACGATAGGGAGAACGCGAATTGCGTTATCATCATCTCCCATCCTCCGTGGGGCTACCACATGTCTGAGCACCTTTCTTTGTAAACACCGCTGGAATAATAACCCCGAGCTTTCCAGTCCTGCTGTTTCAGGCAGGCAGCTTGCAGCCATTACCACAGGGCTCTTGACAAAGGACGTACCGAAAGGGGAAATCTGATTGTTTTATTTCCCTTTGGCAATTAAGGAGCTGATGCAGCTCTCGCTATCGTCAATTAGTCTTCACGCTCACTCTAAAGGGCTTTGGATTGGTCCCAAAGTCAGTGTCCTCATTTTCTGTAATCCTGGAAGTGTTTACGCCTTCCCAGCCTCTGAGCGGGGATGAGCCAGCTGATGGCACATCCAGCCAATTATAACCTGAACAGCTAGGAGAGAATTATTTATTTTCCATTTGGCAAGAGGGATAGGAAAGCATGGCAAGGCAGGCCCAGGCAGATGAACAAACCCTCTTTGCAAGCCCTGCTTGCCATGCAAAGTATTTGCAGCATGGTTTTTTGGCATAAGCCTGCAGTGCGATTTCTGCTTTGTAATAAGCATCGTCGGAGGCAGGACACGTCGAAGAGAGAATATTTCAATCGAAAGGCCAAAGAATTTTGCTTTGGTTTTTGTGAAGTACATACTTCCATCTCAGAGATTCTTTTCTTGCTATTTTAAGCTGGGAAACAGGTGGAAAATAGCTCTTTTTATCCTGATTTTAGTATTTCCCTTCCCTTCTGTCTGGACATTGATCTCACCAGATTTTGCAGGATGAACTGGCCAGTGGACAGACTGGGCTCTTCAGGGAAAATCCAGAGCATTGCAGAAAATGCTGCTGATGAGTCAGGAAGTGTTTTGCATCCTTCTGCTTTAGAGCTGAGCTCGGTGCCCTCTCTTTATGAAAGAAGGTATGTTTTTTCTTCAACATACCGTCCTTGCAATGAGGTATTAGTCGATCTAATGATCCGCCCCGCTCATGAGTGCTTGGGGTCACCGAAGACTTCCTAGCACTTCTACAAGAAGCCGCTGTTGTTCTTTCTGCTTTGGCCACGGTCCAGCCTGAACAATTTTATCGTGGCCAACACCTCTGGCAGCTCGGTTCACAGCAGCATTATCCCATCCAGGACAGATCACGGGACGGGCAGTCAGGTGTTCGAGGCGCTATTACTGGTTCAGCTGCTGAGCAATGGTTGTGCAATCACAGGCAGCTCACTGAACCCCTGCATGCCTCAGTTTCTCGCGATGTAAATAAAGGAGGGTGTTTACTGAAGCCACAGGCTGCGTAGCACTCGGTTAATATTTGCATATGTGTGGAATTGCTTAAATTCTAGGAGTATTAAAAATCAGTGGCAGACTTTGCTGCATGCTGCATTATTCCACAATTTCCCTGCTATGCCTCCCACACTCACACTGTCGTTACTCCTTGCCAAGAGGTTATGGATCTTTTTGAGTAAAAGGTAGTACATAAACACAAGTTATTGTTGCTTACACCAACTGATTTACTGTGTTTCCTTGTGAAACCAATAGCTCTCATTTCAAACTGGATCCTGGAGCCAATAAATGTTTGCTGGAACAGCAGTAACTGATGTCAGGGTTACGGTACATGGCGATGATGTCTTGGGCAATACTTCTTGCAGGGGGGAGTGCAATGAGGTTTTAGCCAAACATTCTAAGGAAATGACGTTTTTGTGACGACGTTGCATGCATCTGTGTGTTAGTTTGGATTGACCATCCAGAAAAGCATCTGTCTAATAACCTCAAAAGTGTCATATTCCAAAAGTCCTGTGAAATAGGTGGCTAGGCAGAGGAGAGAGACAGTGTTAGTGCTCCCACTGAGGGATAGGCTCAGATGTCATTGACTTCAGAGAAAACCCACCCGGGGAAAACGTTTTTCTCAACTTTTCTCAAACTACACTTTTATGTCCCCACAAAAGAGAGAGAATTTGTCCGTCTCATCACTTCTTGCTAGAGTTCTCCTAACTCAGAAGGCGACTTCCGCAGAGAAATTTGAAGTTTGGCGATTTGTTCATAGGGTAGTCCCCCTCTTAAGACAAATTTAAGACTAAAACTTCCCAGAAGAGTTATTTTAAGTCATTGCAAGCACTTCACTACAATCTGATCCTATCTGAAGATCTCCAGTAGCAGCTGGATAATGGCCACACACTGTATTAAATAATCAAGGCCCACATCGATCATTAGCTGAGCTAGATCAATAAGGACAATTCATGAGAAACCAACTGAGGGAAGGTATTTTGATTCAGGTTTAAATGCAAGTTGCTCTCAGCACAGGGTCCTTCCTTTTATTTTATGGGGATTTTCTCTCCACGTTTCTGGTGAATTTAATACTGCTGGCAGCTGCTGAGCTAATAGCCCTAGACGCTGAAGTGCTGTCTTCCAGCGCTGCAGAGGAACAGCTTGGTCTATTCGTGGCAACAAGCCCTTTCAGTACTGTTGTAGCAAGAGAAATGAGAGGATGGTTTATAATTCCGACTGTGAAATACACTCACTTTGTTGTCAGGCAGCTCCTATGGAAAAAAATAGGAAAAATGAGAGTTTTTCCCCAGGGAAATGCTGTAAATATCAGCTGGGGTTTGGAGTCACATACTGGCTTTTTAACAAAAATACCCCAGCCTTCTGGAAGATGTAACAGTTGGGAAAGCCTGGCTTTTCTTTACATCTGACTTCAGATTTAGTATATCCTGCTGTATAGGGTGCAGACAGGGAGATCTGAGCTGGAATCCGAACCCAGCTGGTGCTCTAACCTGCTTTGTAAGTTTGGGCAAATCCCATCTCTTTTGCTTTGTGAAAAATGAGGGCTGACAGGTATCATAAGAGCTTATTCACCCTGTCCTTCTCCCTGAGATAAGAACAATTCTCCCTAAACTGTTCAGAACAGATGTTTTACTAATTACTTGTTAAATAAAAATATCCGAAGGTGACTATTCCACTGCTTTCCTAGGCAATTTGTTGCGGTGCTCAGCTATTCATACCCTGAACCCAACGTCGAATTTCTATTGCCTTTTCCAAGATGTAAGCTCATTATTTCTCATCCTAGACTCGCTGCATGCAGAGAAGAGCTAGCTCCCTCCTGCTCTGCGGCAACCTCTTGCATATTTGAAGATGATATAATGTCTCCTTTCGGTTACGTCTTCTCTTCTTCCAACTAAATGCTTTGTAAAGTGTTCTAAGACTAGAATGGAAACGCTTCGCAGGGTAGATTTTTGAAGGGCTCTGTTCCAGCGTGGTCACTGAGATTGAAGCAAAAGCGTCTTCAAAAGCAGCGTTTTCTCACTAGGGATGGCGAATCGCGCTTAGGCAGAGCTGGTCCCAAAGGCTATGTCCATGCTGTCATTCCAACTGCGCCTAACACCTTTCTCAGATCCAGACTCGCCGACTGTCTGTGCTGTCGACACGCAGGCATGGGCGAAGGCTGAGATGAGGAGGGAAAGGTCAAGCGAGTCTCGGTGTGGATCTAAGTTTTCCTTCTCACAGTTTCTGCAGATTATTCATGAGCGGAACGTGATAGCCCAGCCTGTCAGCAGATACTCTGATTGTGGCTCTTCCTAAGCACCATATGGATGCTTTCAGCCTGAGCTGCAGCCCTGCCTAACAGTTGGTAGCGTGGATGAAAACCGCACGACACGCAGCGCTCGGCGCTGCCGGCCCTGCCACCAGGACTCACCTGCACACCCCAGACCCAACGCTACGCGGTTTCACCGGGGCTTGTCCTCAGCCTGCGGCAGCCCCTGAGATACAATTCTGAGAGCGTGGCAGGATTGCCTCAGCCCAGGAAATGTTGGGTTTTTTTTACAGGCATTCATTTAAATAAGGAAGAATTCTGTTGAAACAGAAATTTGGGATTGCTAGTTTAAGTTCCAGCTGCGTCAGCCTTCTGATGATCACCCACTATGTCTCAGCTGCTGTCCCTGGACAGTGATGTGATGGAAAGAGCATTCATAGACCTGTTTTTCTTTCCTTGGTTAGTCACACCTTTAATGGTCTCATCTTATAATTAGAGAGCCGCCGGAACTGTGTGACCCTGAATCACAAAATTAGGTAGTGAACCCTCATTCCAGTGTGTGAGCACAGCATCACTCTAACTTCAACGCATCCTTCCACCCCCAAAAATGCAAAAACCCCGATAAATCTCTAAGCTGGTTAGAAAATGGTCCTTCTCCTGGTATCCATAAGGACACTGCTGGCTGCAAGTCCCTGTCCCTTCAGCCGCAGAAGTTGGATTGTACAGTGAGATTGCGTACCCCTATTGCTGCAAAATCATTCTTATATTTCAAAACACGGTGCTGGGAACATATGTGAGAGAAAGAGAAAGAAAGGCAGCTGAAAGTCTACAGCCAACAGCTTGTGTCAGAAAGCTGCTAAAGGAGGAAACAGTTGGGCATTTTTAATCGCGACGTGGTATCTGCAGGATGAACATGAGCAAACTTGGCTTGCGACTGAAATCTTTTGTGATCGAATCAATTCCTGACAAGCCGCACGAGCCCGGATGGTGAGCTTCAAAGTGAATCGGAACACCTGCCCCTAAAATTTTGTTCCCCAAATGTAAACTTTGCCACAGTCTCCTCATGCTCGTGTCTATGTGTGCTGAAGGCAAACTGAGGGCAAATCACTAAAGTTGCACCTCTGCATGGAGGCAGAGCCTCTTAAGAGCACGTGTTGTTGAGGGGGGACATGGTGTACCACGCCAAGGTGGCCATGGCTGTGTGTTGCTGAGGGGAGGACATGGCGGGGCGCTCTGAGGTGGCCATGACTGTATGTTGGTGAGGCGGGGACATGGCGGGGTGCTCTGAGGTGGCCATGGCTGTGTGTGGCTGAGGGGGAACACTGGC